AAGTATAACTTAGCTGGGGCAGGGAACTCAGCTCTCACCCCACATCCACCTGGTTCCAAAATCAGCATCCCACAAAATGAACACATTCCATGGTATGTTTAGAAAGAAGGACTTATTTTACTGAAATCTTCAGCACATGAAGAAACGGAGACAAAAGATCCCAGCTCACACCTCTTAGTAAATTAAATTTCCCATCAAACTTTTTTTTTATTCTACCCCCTACTCCTGCTGCCCAAGTTCTTCTCCCTTGCCATCAGTGTCTTCTGTCCTCTTACTTACCCCTTGCACAGCCTCTAACGATTCCTTCCAACATCCTGAGCAGCTTGGTTTTCCCCCTCAACTTGTATCCCTCACTCAGCAAAACAAAAGGTCCTGGAGTTAGTGAGACAGTCACTATGTTTCCTCACATGAATCCCTGGTGAAGTGGGGTCAGCCACCACCCACCACCCACCACCTCCTAAAGCAGTTTCACAAAAACAAATAATACTATCACCCTATTGTTAGAGAGCAACGTTAACAGTTTTCAGCCACAGCCTGGCCATCTGCCTTTTTCTTCCTTTCAGATTGTCTCGTGTTATCATTCTGCAGGAGGGGACACCTTTCTTTGTTAGTGACTGCAGCTGAAGTCATCTACGCCCTGAGATGTTGTCCTTTGAAGGGGGCCTGCCTTTCTTGACCTGGCCTGTTTGTTCTCCCCCAGTCATAACACAGCTCCTGCCAGTTCTCTGGCCTCCGTGAACTCTCAGCTTTGACTGCAGCTGGATGGCAGGAAGCTTGTTCTGGCCAATGCTCATTGTTCCTAGAGTTTGTTACTACATTAATGGTTCAAAGCAATCATCTTCTTTTGCTCTCATTTTGGAGTCCCGTGTGTTTTCCCCATCCGCCTCTATTATCCCGAGCGCCTTATTTTTCCTCTTGATCCAAACCAAACACTGTTTATCAGTCATAGGAAGGACTTTGCAATGTTTCTGCCCACGGTGCAGCGTGATACACAGGGCTTCCTGTGTAAGCGTGGCCCCGCTCCAAGACAATGGAATAAGCCTGCAGGGTAGATCAGAGAGTCCTAGACTTGAATCGCTTATGCTGGGGCCACTGAGACAGATCTGTCCTTTCTCTGCCTGTGTCATTGATCCACAGAGAGGGCCCAGATGTTAACTTCAAAAGCTAGGGGTGATCGGACCTTTCTCAGAGAGGACACGGTTTGCATTGAGGGTGGCTCAATAAAGAACAAGAGGAGTGATTCCTGTAGAGCAGCGGAGGTTGTAGAGACATTTGTACTTCTAAAGCTACGCTGAGTCTGATAAAACTCTTGGGATGCTGCCCCCCTGCAGCCCACTGGAGCTGGAGGTGGTTGGTAGGGTCCCATCTGCTCTCACTCTTCGGAGACATCTGTGCTGTGAGCAGACCCCTTGCCTGACTGAGGAGGCCCAAGGAGAGAGACGTCCTTCCCATCGCAGGGCCTCTGCTCACCAGGCATGTGAATTTGTCAAGCTCCTTCACCTGCCAGAGGCCATGTTTCTTTATCTGTAACCCAAGGAAGCTGGACTCTTGATCCATCATCCTGTGCTATTGGGGGGATTCTGTAGAGTGCTGAGTAGATGGGACAAAATGTGCAGGTGACTTGGCTCATGTATTAAATGATGAACTCTCATGGAGTCCCTCCTGGGTGGAAGCAGGAATGGTGCTGGGCACTGGGAATACGAGGCCAGCTAAGAGACAGTCTTTACCCTTGAGAAACCCACAGTCTAGTAAACAACACATGAGTAAACCAATAATTGTGATTCAACATGTAAGTGGTATACTATATGTAGGTGAGTACAACGTGCTTGTTGGAGCCTAGAGAGGGGCTGTGCTGCTGCCTGGAGGCCTGAAGTGGCCTTCTAGAGACATTTGATCTTTGTCAGGCAGAGAAGAGGCTGTAGGAGGCCCATGAAGAGTGTGTCCCAGTTAGATGAACAGTCTGAGCACAGCGCGTTGTTCTTGGAAAGTGGCCGTCGTCACCCTACTCATCCGTATTTGCTGCTCCCCAAAGCCAGCCACATGAGCCCATCCCTGGTTCATGCCTAAGGGGACCAGGGGGCAGACATGTGGTTTCAAAGAAGCCAGCTTATAGCTTGTTCAGGGCTCCATGACTTGTGGCCTGGATTGCAGAGATGAGCCAGCCAAGCCAGTCATGGCTCAGGATTTTCACGTTGGGAAACAAGGAGACTGTTGCCAGTTGTCTGGGGGAACTGGGGTGACTTTGCATGAAAGGAGGGGCTGAGGCAAATCATGGGGGCTGAACCGTGGGTGCTCAGGGTTGTGCTGGAGCGTACACTGTGGAGAGCAGGGCAGCAGAGGGATGAGGAGGGAACTGGCCCCATAGCAAGCCTTTGTGTTTGCCTCTCCCTGGCCCGGCGGGGTTTGCTGTTTAGCCTTTCTTTTTGGGCTCCTTGCATCACATGTAAAGTCAAAGTTCAGGCTCTATACACATGCATGCAACATCCTAGGGCTCTCATTTCTACCAGATAATTCCTTTTCCAGCCACAATCTTGGTGAACGGCAAGCTTCTTTAGCGCTTACCCTGGTCAACAGATAGAATGTATGCAGTTCTTTTCTCAGCCCTTCAGGATTTTAAGCAGGTAGAGAGGTTCTCACGTCCTTCCAGTGTGGCCTGCTCCTCCTGATCTCACTCTTCTCAGGCAGCAGAGCTTCGACCGCCTGCCATCAGACCCACCTGGTCTGAATTCCCGTTGGGTTTCATCTTTTACCAACTGCTCTGAACATGAGTTGGCACATGGGGGATTTCTCTCCTAGTTTCAAATATGTATGGAGACCAAAAAAGTTATCAAACTACATTCCACAGCCATTCCATGTTTTGGGACCAGAACAGGTGTAGTGGGTTTTGTATTTGGCTAAGGCCTGAGCTTGGTGCAATGCTACTGTCTTTCCCAGAGCTCTGGTGTCCTTGGGTGAAACTTAAGAGTCTTTAAGTTGTACCTTGCAGTCAAAAAGGCTCCAACTAGAACAGACATGTTGTGGTCAGGGAAAGACGTGATGACAGAGGAGAGTGATGAGTAGCTTTATCTTTGGGAGTTCACAAAATTTTAGGCCAGGTATGATAGAACCTGTGTGTGAGAAGAGCATAGCACCAGAGAGCTGAAGGAAAAAGACCCGTCTGGGAGTGGGAACGGGGAAGAGAAGGGAGGCAGAGTCATTCTACAGCCATCACGCTAATCCAGGTGAGCGGTGATGAAGTCTTGAACAGGGGCAGTGTAACAAGGATATTTAGGGGGAAACAAAGGCTAAAATGTATGAGTATCTGGTCTGTCTACACTAGCCATTTTCCACGTGTTTCCTCATTAAATGTTTACAACACCCCGAGACCTCCATATTTACTTATTATCCTCATTTTATGATAAGAAATTAGAAGCTCTGAGAGATTAAGTAACTTGATCCAGGTAATATGACTAGGAAGTCATTGAGTCAAATTTGAACTTAGGTCTCTGACACCATGGCCACATCCATATTCTTTTTTTAAATTTTTTTTCTTAGAGACAAGTTCTTGCTCTGTTGCTCAGACTGCTGGAGCGCAGTGGCATGATCATGGCTCACTGCAGCCTCAACCTTCTGGGCTTAAGTAATCATCCTGTCTCAGCCTGGGATTACAGGTATCTGCTGCCACACCCGGCTAATGTTTAAAATTTTTGTAGAGACTGTTGTTGCCCTGGATGGTTTTGAACTCCTGGGTTCAAGTGATCCTCCTGCCTTGGCCCCCCAAAGTGCTGGGATTACAGGTGTGAGCCACTGCACTTGACAACATTCTTTTCTTTACATAAGGACTTTTAAAATAAGAATTGGCAATATTTGTATATGGAAGATGAGAAAGAGAGAAGGAGAGAGAACTCTTGAGGTTAGTAGCTTGGGTAGCTGTGAATTGGTGATGATGCTAACTGAGAGAAGGGATACAGGAGGCAGAGCACGCCTGGGGAGGAAGGAAATTGGTCCATTTTGTGCAGCACCTGGAAGTCATCCAGGCAGAGATTTCTAGTGAATAGCTGGAAATATGAGTCCGGAGTCCGGGAGAGAGTTCAGCTGGAGACATCCCTTTTGGTGTCGTTGGCTGACTGTTAGTTATAGAAACCAAGGGAGAGGATGAAATTCTTTAGTGAGTTTGTGAAGTAAGAGGAGAGTCAAGGATGTAACAGGGAGACATCAACATCTAAGGAGAAAGTGCAGAAGGGGCCAGAAGAGGGGGTGAGAAGAGTGGTGAGAAAGGTAAGCATAGAATGTATAGGGAGCAGAATCTCAAATACTAAAAAAGGGTATTAAAAAGTAAAGAGGACGTTTTTAATATTAACAAATGCAAAAGAGATGAAATAGGATATAGACCTGAAAAGAAGACATTGGTCTGTCATCTAGGAGGTCGTTGATGACCTTTTCAAGGACAAGAAAAGAAGAAGTGATTAATTCTGCCTGGGGCTGGCTAGAGAAAGGTTTTGAAGGAGAGCCGACATTTGAGCTGGACCATTCAACATCGGTGAGATGGTGCCAGGCAGAGAAGAGGGGAAAGGCACCTCAGGCAGAAGGAGCAACACAGGAAAAAACAAAAGCCCAGAGAGATGCTTTGGAATTCCATTGAGCTCTTTGGATTTTTACAGGCAGCATCAAGCTGGCAGCACGAGTCTATTAAGCCCTGTTTTGTTTTCTCCATTTTGGAGAATCTTACAGTTTCTCTTTCTACTGTAGACATAATAATTGAGATTGGGAAATATAATTGGTGTCTCCCAAAGAGACATATGGTTCAATATTTTATGAAAATAAGAGTTCTAAAAAAAAAAACGGAGGAAGTAGGAAGACTCTGCAAATCCATCTCATAGAGCATGTCATGATTTGGAAAGGTAATATGTGCTAGCTGTTGTCACAAATGGCTCCTGAACTCTCAGAGGCTTAAAACAATCCAAGTTTAGTTCTCACTCACATGGAGCCTGATGGGGTCCAGCAGCTCTTCTGGGCAGCTCTCCTTCATGTAGTGACTCAGAGATCTACGCTCCTTCTACATGTGCTCTGCATTCTTGGATCCCTTCAATCCCAGCCATGCGGACAGGAAAAGAAAACATAGGGAAATCATACCAGATGCCGAGTCACCCAGGCTGGAAGGAACATTTCACTGCTGTTCACATTCCATAGACCATATTCGGCAAATGGCCCACCCCACCTGACTGCAGAGGAGACCCGAAAACGGACATGAGCACATCGGTATTGGTGAGCACTAACGGTGTATGCCCATTGATGATTGATTATTAAAATACCGATTGTTAAAATTTGCTTTGCTTTGCCTGAAAAATGTGAATGGATTTAGGCATTGTCCATTTTGTACATTTTGCAGGTAACCTTGCTCCTCTGATTCCTCGGGACTCGATATTTCAGTCTGTTATTAAAGACAGATTTTCGTGTTACAAGAACTCTGCCTTGAGGCTGTGCGCAACTTGAGTACAGGGTTAAAAACTATAGAATTATGTTTCTAGGTGTTTTCAAAGTGAACTGAATTCTCAAGGTAAATTCAGTTTCGTGGGTTTAAGGTGGATCAGTCGTTGTGGTTGGCATCGTGGAGCATGCTACAGTGGAGAAGAAGGTCTTGAAGGAAGATTACATCTGCCGTGCAGGAATGGGTGGGAATGAAGTGGGAATGGGCGTAGGAATGAAGGAGAATGGGTTTCATGTCATAATGGTGCAATATCGAGACTGTATTTTGCATATTCAACCAAGTGAATCTTAGGTTTTGGCAAATAATATTGTAAAAATGGTAACAGCAATTTTAAAAAATACACTATTCTTTTTTATTTTTCTATGTTGCCCTGCAGTTTGTCTTCATATGCAGGCAAAATCTTCATGTAGAGGGGCTCATCGCGTGCATCTTTGATTCTAGCGTTTTCACACATCACACTGTCTACCGTCTCCCACTCCACCTCTACCTATGCTTCTCTCCTTTGGCTCACCCCATTCTGATCACATTGATAATCCCCTTCCTGACCTATCACGCTCTTTCCTATCTCGAGATGTTTGTAGCTGATATTCTCTGGGTTGGTTTTCACTGAGCTCTTCACATGACTGGTTCATTCTCACCTTCAGGTCTTGGCTCAAAGGTCACTCCCCTCAGAGAGAATTTCCCTGAGTATCCTACAAACAGCATCCCCTCCCATTCTTCTCTATTACATCATATCACATCATCACGCTTATTTGCATCATGTCATTTTTCACCATTTATAGATCTCTTTCGTTCCTTACTTATGTTTATGTTTACCTCACTAGAACATAGCTTCCATAATGAACACTATTATGTATGTAACCTTTCCTCTTCTTTGAATTATTCCTGTGGGCTCTTTTCCTGAATAAATTCTCAGGAGTGAGATTATTGAATCAAATATTGTGAACCTTCTTATTGTTCTTGAAATATGGTTGCCATAGTGCTCTCCAAAAGTTGTATCAATGTACACTGCCATCAGCCAAATGTTGTTGTACCCATTTTACTACATTATAAATCATTGTCAGTACTGGGTTATACACACATGTGAAATTTGGCAAAATGACTAAGTGTATTTAAGGATTGATTTATGAATCATTGAGACTAACAAATACTTGAGCATGAGATAATATCCTGCATACTGAATTCTTCAGGCCAAGCTTTCAAGATTATATACTTCTTTATTAGTGTTTTTTTAAACAGTTCTCTATCCTGCAAGTAATGAAACATCTTCTGGAGAAGCATCAAAGCAGAGAGAAAGTACCCAGCCATCCTGAGAACCACATCTCTCTCTCCACCAGCCACTCAGCTATGCCTCTCAATCATCAGAGTTACGAATCTGCAAATTGGAGACTTCAAATGTCTTTAACTGCTTAGAATATGTGGGTGAGTTATAGTTTGGCTTTATTTAGCTTTTTTACTATCAAAATAAGTCAGTTAGATTTATAGAAAATAACCAGGATCTCTGAGGCATGAAGCAAGGTATCAAGTACAGTCAGACTTCAGAGATGTCGTGGGCTCGGTTCCAGATCACCACAGTAAAGCAATGTCACATGAATTTGTTGGTGTCTCAGTGCATATAAAGTTATGCTGACACTATTCTGTAGTCTGTTAACTGTGCAATTGCATCATGTCTAAAATAATTCATATAACTTAATTTAAAAATACATTTTGTTTAAAAAAATGCTAACGATCATTAGAGCCGTCAGTGAGTTTCACTCTGTTTGCTGGTGGAGGGTCTTGTCTTGACGTTGATGGTTGCTGACTGATCAGGGTGGTGGTTATAGCAATTTCCTAAAATAAAACAACAATGAAATTGGTTGCACTGATTGACTCTTTTTTTTCACAAAAGATTTTTCTGTAGCATAGGATGCTGTTTGATAGCATTTTACCCATACTAGAATTTTTAAAACCGGAGTCAATAGTCTCACACCCTGTCCCTGATTTATCAGCTAAGTTGATGTACTATTCTAAATCCTTTGTTGTCATTTCAGCAATGTTCACAGCATCTACAACAGGAGTAGTTTCCATCCCAAGAAACCACTTTCTTTGCCCATCATAAGAAATAGCTCCTCATCAGTTCATGTTTGATCATGAGATTGCAGCAATACAGTCACATCTTCAGGCTCCACTTCCAATTCCAGTTCTCTTGCCATTTCCACCACATCTGGAGCTCCTTCCTCCACTCTAGCCTTGAGCCCCTCAAAGTCATTCATGAGAGTTGGAATCAACTTCTTCCAACTCCTGTCAATGCTGATCTTTTGAGTCCTTCCTATGAATTGCGAATGTTCATAATGACATTTAGAGCAGCGAATCCTTTCCAGAAGGTTTTCAATTTACTTTGCCCATATCCATCAGAGGAATCACTATCTATAGAAGGTATACCCTTACAAAATGGATTTCTTAAGTAATAAGACTGAAAAGTCAAAATTACTCCATGATCCATGGGCTGCAGAGTGGATGTTGTGTTAGCAGACATGAAACATTAATCCCCTTGCATATCTCCATCAGAGCTCTGATGCTCCTTAGACCAGGCGCATAGTCAATGAGCAGTGTTTTGAAAGGAATATTTTTGTCTGAGCAGTAGATATCAACAGCAAGCTTAAAATATTCAGTAAACCACAATATAAACAGATGTGCTGTTATCCAGGCTTTGTTCCATTTATAGAGCACATGCAGAATAGATTTAGTATCATTCTTTAGGGCCCTAGAATTTTTAGAATGGCAAATGAGCATCAACTTCAACTTAAAGCCACCAGCTTCATTAGCCCTTAAAAGGCAGTCAGCCTGTCCCTTGCAGCCTTGAAGCCAGGCATTGACTCCTCCTCTTCAGCTACAGAAAGTCCTAGATGGTATCTTCTTCCAGTAGAAGGCTGTTCCATCTACACTGAAAATCTGCTCTTTGGTGTAGCCACCTTCATCAGTGACCTTAGCCAGATCTTCTGGATAACTTGCTGCAGCTTCTCCATCAGCACTTGCTGCTTCACCTTATGCTTTTATGTTACAGAGATGGCTTCTTTTTTTAAACGTCATAAACCAACCTCTGCTGGCTTCCAGGTTTTCTTCTGCAGCTTCCTCACCCCTCCCAGCCTTCATAGAATTGAAAAGAGCTTGATCTGAGTTAGGCTTCGGCTTAAGGGAATGTTGCAGCTGGTTTCATCTTCTGTTCAAACCCCTCAAACTTTCTCCATACCAGCAATAAAGAGTGTTTTACTTTGTTATCATTCATGTGTTCACTGAAGTGGCACTTTTAATTTCCTTCAAGAATCTTTCCTTTGCATTTTCAACTTGGCTAACTGGTGCAGGAGGCCTAGCTTTTGGCCTATCTCAGCTTTCAACAAGCCTTCTTCACTCACTGACTTAATCATTTCTAGTTTTTTCTTTCCTTTCTTCCTTCCTTCCTTCCTTCCTTCTTTCCTTCCTTCCTTCCTTCCTTCCTTCCTTCCTTCCTTCCTTCTCTTTTCTTCCTTGCTTCCTCTTTCTTTCTTCTCCTTTCTTCCTTCCTTTCTTTCTCTCTCTCTCCTTTCTTCCCTCCCTCCCTCCCTCCCTCCCTTTCTTTCTTCCTTCCTTCCTTCCTTCCTCCCTTTCCCCAAGCTGGACTCCAACCCCTGGGTGCAAGCCATCCTCCTACTTCAGCCTCCCAAGCAGTGCGACTATATATCTGTGCAACTACGTCTGGCTTATTTCTAGATTTTAATTGCAAATGAGAGACATATGACCCTTTCTCTTGAACATTTAGAGGCCATTGAGGGGTTATCAATTGGCTAATTTCAGTATTGTTGTGTCTTAGGGATTGGGAGGCCTGAGGAGCGGGGAGAGGTAGAGGAACAACTGGTTGGTGGAGCAGTGGGAACACCCACAACGTTTACTGATTACATTCACTGTATTATGTAGAGGCACAGTTTGTGACTCCTCAAACAATTGCAGTAGTAACATCAAAGGTCACTGATCACACATCATCGTAACATATATAATAATAATGAAAACATTTGAAATATCCTGAGAATTACCAAAATGTGACACAGAGACATGAAGTGAGCATGCGCTGCTGGCGGCACGGCATGGATAGACTTGCCCGACGCAGGGTTGACACGAACCTTCCATTTGGGAAAAAATGCAATCTCTGTGAAGTGCAATCAAGCAAAGTGTAATAAAATGAGGCATGCCTGTACAATTCTACAATATTCATAATGGCCAGAGGATTGTTACTTTACTACTAATAAGAAGGAAAGAGGGCTTCTCTAGTTCCCAAAGAAAAGAATGGGTCAGTAAATGAATTAATAGAGAAATAAATATAATTTGAAAGCCTTCCATAGACCCACAGTGAAAAAGTGCCAAGAATCGGAAGAGCATGTTTAACACAATCTTTATGCCTGATGTCTGACACAAGGGACAAAATAAAACACAAAAAAGGAAACACTGAGGTCCAGGCCCGCTCTGATTTTTCTCAGTTTAACCAGTTTTTTATTCACATATGATGGGCTACGGAGGATGATGGAAGAGACAGTGTCGGTCCTTGAAGTCTTTTTGCTTCTCTGGTTTTCCTACATACGGGAGCTTAGTGAAGGTTTAGTAATGCCTTGGCTTCCAGCTTCCAAGAGCTGACAGAAATGGAGATGCAATTTTATCGAAATACCCAAAGACATGGCTGCTTCAAACAGAGGCTGCAGCGAGAGAAAGGGAGGCCATGTGGGCCGAGGAGAGACTGGAAGGTGGAGCTTCTCCACCGAGCTCAGAGCTCTGCCCTTCCCTTACCTGTGGCCTTGGAAGACACTGGGCTCCCCTGGGGACTTCGGTGGCTTCTTTGGTGCTATGCGGAGGCTGGACTCCATCAGTGGGTTTTCAACCACTTCTGATAAAACCTAAGGTTTTCGAAACACTGAAGATTTAAACTGCCTGAAGAAAACTGTAATTCTATCTGCTTCACTCTTTCTATAGTGTTACCTAAAAAAAGGTTTTTTGTTTTGTTTTGTTTGTTGTTTTCATCTCTAGTGATTTCCTTACCTGGCATTTTCCGAGATCAGAAGCACTCTAGCAACGCTCTTGCTCGAATGCATTCACAAAGGCCAGGACCCGCAGGGCTCCTTCAGCCTCCCTCCCTTTCTTCTCCAACGTGTCTAATTTGGGCTAAATCTGTGTCAGGGCTGGAGGGTGGAGTCTGCAGTTTGCATTGAGCATGGCTAGCAGAGGCCTTTGAAAACTCGGGGTGTCCCTTGAGGAAGAGAGAAGAGGCATTAACACCCCAAATCAGTCTGTGACAATGAGTCCTGCCCTTATCAAGAGGGTCTAAAATGAATTACAGGGTGAGCATCGTGTAAATTTAACATTTCGGGACTATTCTGTCTCAGTGTAACAGCAGACTTCCGTGACAATCTACATTTGCTCATAAATTCCACTTGGACAGAGGCTTAATCTTTAGGTCTTAACACTAGTCCCAGAAGGACATTTGGGTGGTACGGACGCTGATAAACACAGATGGAACTTGTAAAGAAAGCCTTTCCCACCATTCTGTATGGGATTTAAAGTTCATTGAGCTCTTTGCTGCAAACACTGTGTGAGAGAAAGTGTGCTCAGAAACACGTAGAGAGCATCTGAATTTATCAAATGCACTTTGTTTATTTATTTATTTATTTATTTATTTTTATTCGAGACAGGGTCTTGCTCTGTCACCTAGGCTGGAGTGCGGTGGGGTGATCTCAGCTAAGTGTAACCTCTGCCTCCCTAGTTCAAAGGATTCTCCTGCCTCAGCCTCCCAAGTAGCTGGAACCACAGGCACGCGCCACCATGCCCAGCTAATTTTTTGTATTTTTAGTAGAAACTGGGTTTTACCATGTTAGCCAGGATGGTCTCAATCTTCTGACCTCGTGATCTGCCCACCTCGGCCTCCCAAAGTGCTGGGATTACAGGCGTGAGCCACCGTGCCCAGCCATCAAATGCACTTTAAAGAGTCTCCTGGGCTGTAGGACGTGCAGTGGTTGGATCCCTCCATAAGCCAGGAGGTTTGGTGTTTTCAGCTGCTACACCTGGTGCGTAAAACACCCTGGGAGAAACGCAAAGTGCAGCCCCCTCAGAGTGTCTCTGGTTTTCCCTTCTTTCAGGACAGGGCGATTTGCCTGATATGGCCTATTTTTCATCAGGGGGTTTAAAAACCCCAAGGGGCCAAAGAAAAAGAAAACAAGAATTTTTTTCCTCCCCCACAAAATACTTAGGTAAAAATTCTGAAGCTGTATCTGTTTCCAGCTGGATGAAAATAATCTGGGACCTCTGGATACCTGGGAGACTCCTTGCCTGACAAGGTCTTAAGGGGAGGCTTCCAGGGGGCCCAGTTCAGGTCCTGGAGCCCTGTCCAGCAAAACCTACAGTTCTGCCCTCTGTCATAACCAAAT